GTTACGACGTTTTGAAGTAATATTGAAATTTCAATCAGTGTACTGCCATCTAGCGGTTAATTGCTGAACGATGACGAATTGGAGTTAATAATTTCGTTCTCAAAAAAAGACCGACTATGTTGCAGGGGTATAAGCTCTACTTTTGTTTCTTGTAACAGCAAATTTATAACGACAAACAGAAAATTGAATATTTGTTAAAATAAGACTTTTCGATGATGTGAAATACCACATGCACTCCAAAACAGCAAAATAAGGCATTTTTCTAGGATTTTAGAGAATTTACACGAAAGAATGACACGACCATATATAATAACGCACATACAAGCACACACTCAACATAACCCCGCACTAGGGAAACCCTGTATCGCGGGTGCCATGGACACACATAGACAACCACAAATGACACCCAAACTCACGAGAGAAATAAATGTAGCCCATACAAGTATTTCTCCCGTCCCGGGAATCGAACCTGGGATCTCTGCGTGGCAGTCCGGCATGGTAACCGTTCGGCCAACGAGGCAGTTACAAATATATACAATAAAATATATACAAAGCGAAAATGGCGGATGGAGCTCAGATAGCTCTTTCGAGACCTATAGTTGGCACGCGTCCGACGCTAAGTAACCACTTCTACTGTATTTATTGTTCTGTGGTAATAACAAAAGAAACAAACCAGTAGCTGTCACATCATGGTTAAGAGCAATCCGTGGCATCAGCATTGCATCAGAGCGTAGCTACGCAGTGACGCTACCTACAGATAGATTAGACAAACAAATGTTAATAACAGGTTTTATTTAATTACGGTAATGAAATGACATTCCACAATGTTAGAGACTTCATTTAACATTGACATTGTATATTGTTAATGTTCTTTTTTAACCGACTTGAAAAAAGGAGGAGGTTCTCAATTCGACTGTATGTTTTTTTTGTATGTATGTTAGGCGATAACTCCGGTATTTGTGAACCGATTTTCATGATTCTTTTTGTTTGAAAGAAATACCTCCATAGTGGTCCCATATAATTTTAAAGAAAATCATCCACCTCTAAGTTCTGTTCTGGCTGTTCACGCATGAAGATTCATTTTTGTAAATGGCGCCTAAATTTTACTATAAGAAGCAATTACTTTAGTGGTTGATTTTGCTATTCTTTAATTCAAGGCGTTTTTTTCTCTCAATATACTTTGAGTAGTGAGAACCGATTTTTATTATCTCCTGTGTCAAGTTCCGTATAGTGGCGAACTAGGGAATGAATCCGGGTTTGCGCACTTTCCGGTAACCGATTTCAATAAAACTTGGCAAATAGATGTAATTCCACGTAATTTTGAGGTTGGTTTTTTTAGTACTCTGTACCGAGACATTTTATTTATTTTATTATTATGACTGATATTATTTTATTGGACGGCATGAATACAATATACAAATTATTGCATGAGTGTGTATATGAAAAAAAAAATGAAACTTTGTATGCTGCAAGGCGAATCACAGTGATTCTATATAAATTTTTTGTAACACCATTTGTAACCTGGATTATCATCATCAACCTATTATACGTCTCATTGCTGAACACGGGTCTCCTCGCTTTTTAAAAGATATCAGCGATCGGACGAACAAGTCATACGGCTGGTGGTAATTGACACACTTATTCATGACGGTCGCAGTGCCACTCAGAGCTTTAAATCACAAAGATCTGAGGGGCACTGCCACTGCGTTCGTCACCTTGAGACATACATTGATAGGTCCTATGTGCCTCTATTTCACCAGCACCCCTACTCTCCAAAACCGGAACGCAGTCACGGTCACATTACTGCTTAACGGCAGAAATAGGTAACGTGACAGTACTTCCCTTGACGGACTTATATATGGTGTTAATTTAATTGCTGTAAACATCATGGCCAACCGTGCCACCAATTAAGAGTCGATACTACCTTAGCTCCAATTAAAATTTTTCCCGTTATTTACTTCAGAATAATTTTTTTTACTAACGAAATTAAAGCCTTTTGAAGTTGTATCAACTCGATACGAACAATGTAAATGTAAATGTTTATACTTTCTAAATCAAAATATATGGAAGCGGATTTCTTTTTTCATGTCTGCAGAGGGGTCACACTTTGTTCGTGTTAATGAGGGAAATCGACCTCCGTCCCTCCCCCTATGTTTTCCTCTACTGTTAGTGAGAGGTTTGCGTCTATAAAAATGTAAATGCCATAGGGATTCGAAGTGTCAATCTCAATTGGGTTCTTATCGCTCGTTTTGATAGATGTTAACAAGTATGATATTAATACAATGACCGTGTAGGTTATACAAAAGAAATTTATAACCAAAAATCAATGAGAAAAGAAACAAAGAAAAGCACTTAAGTCAGAGATTACACGAAAATGTCATTTGCAACGAACTTGCCTTTTTGTCTTGACGAAGGAAGGGACCGGTTTAGCAGAAATAAAATAGAAATATTCAATTACGCGCAAAACGGAGCGAAAGGAAAACCGTTCGAAGCGGTTTTTTGTAAAAGACGTGAAAAAAGATAGAGAAAATTGTTGTTTGACCATCGAATATGTGTGTGAAACAACTGCACTCGAAACTGTCACATTTCTTTTTGTTTTATACATTTTAGAAATAGTTATGCTGTATTTTTGAAGGTTTCGGTGACTTAACGGACTGTGGACGCTTAACAAGGAGGTTGCGGGTTCATTTACCAATCCAACTGTCTGGGTGTTCTGGGTAGTGCCTCGGAGTGAATTCCGTTGCTCTGGTACCTACTATTACATAACTCCCTAGTTTGAGTATTTAGTAGTATATTATTGATATTAATTATAACTAGTATCTACAGTTTAATTTAATGTTATCAAGTGAAAGTGTAAGAAGTCGAGCGCCTGGTGGTAAGAGACACGCCTACCCACAACAATTGCAGTGACACTCAGAGCGATGTCACACGATGCATTGCTTCGGCGTTGCAAAACCTGAGCGGTGTCGCGGCTATGCAATATGCATTGTACTATGCAATAATTATAAATTAGAACTACACGTCACATGGTTAGAGATGGGCAGTGTATTAAAGCCTATCAACCCGCCCGGGTTTTAAGCCATTTCAGTCGAAAATCGTGCGCGGAAACTGCAAATACGTATATTTAGTAATTTGGAATAATTCTATATTTATTACAAATTTCGATCGCTTCCCTGGAAGAAATTGCCTGTTGTGCATTAGCTTACTCTATGATACTTACGTTACTGTAATTTTAATGTGCAATAAAGCATATTTCATTGATTAATTCAGTCATTCATCTCCACACAATACCCGCCTTGCAATCCTGTCGATTCGCACTGCTAAGAATGCACATTTCGATTTGGTTTTTATGGAAATCGATTCAAGTGTAAGTATACGATCTAACGATTTTATGTATCGATTTATTTCAATGCGATTTTCAAGCGTATCGATTTAATGAAAAGACAACTCAAATAATCTTAATCAGAAAGCAATAAACATTTTGTAATGATATATTTTGAACAAAACTCCATTGACAATAAATATTTAGTTGTAAATAGTTTTTGTTTTCGATTTCGGGCGGGAAACGAACCGGGGAGGGCTGCTGCGGTACGTAAGTAAGCGGCGTTACGTTATAACACTATAGTGCTAGTGTGTCACTTGGTGCGTTGAAATTGTGGAATTGCGACAACGCAATGCCAGTCGCGCGTGGCATGTCTCTTAACAGCAAAGATCTGAGAGACACTACTCCTGTCACCCTGAAACATAAAGACAACAAGAAATCCCATGTGTCAAGCGCGCATTCCCTTTCCGGTATTTTTGAAATGCAGTTTTTTTTTATAATCGAACAAACAGCGCCACTCAAAGCTTTAAATCACAAAGATCCGAGGGGCACTGCCACTGCGTCTGTCACCCTGATACAACACCGGAACGCAATAATAGTAATAATAATAATAATAATAACGCACACACTCGACATAGCCCCGCACTAGGGAAACCCTGTGTCGCGGGTGCCATGGACACACAAATAGACAATTACAAATTACACCCAAAGTCACGAGACAAATAAATGTAGGCCATACAAATATTACTTCCGGCCCGGGAATCGAACCTGGGACAGAGGTCCCAGGTTCGATTTCGATTCCGGTGTTGATCCTTCAACACCGGAACGCAGTTATGCAATATATATAGGCAAAGGTGCTGGTGAAATTACGAGCAAATGGAACTTGTCAACTTATGTTCCAAAGTGACGGGTGCAGTGGCAGTACCTCAGTGATTTAAGTTTCTGGATGGCACTGCAACTGTTATGAATAAACGTGTCGCTTACTATCAGGTGCACGACTTGTTCGTCTCGTCGCTAATATCATAAAAAAATCATGACTATAAGAACGGCTCATCTCTAAATTAATGACTTCATAATCCCGATGCAGAGGCATGGCAGTCCGGCATGGTAACCGTTCGGCCACGGAGGCAGTTAAATAACTCTGACATTACTGCTTGGCGGCAGAAATAGGTAAAGTGGCAGTACTTCCCTGGACGAACTCTTTCACAAGGAGTTGCTACTTTTACTTTAAGACAATTTTTATTTCGTACTCAATTTTCAGGACAATTTTCATTTTACCATTGTTGAAACAAATCAACGGTAAACTTTTATTATTATGAATTAAAAAAAACATTAAGTGCGTTTCCAAACATGATTCCAGTGTCACTTGACAATCATGGTCGTATAATTATAGTGTCAATATGCAGATATAGACACCATAATTAAATATTTCCACCACGCAAATATACGGTGACATAAATATTATCAAAGTTTCATATACCAAATCATACTGGCCTCAAGATTTATACACAACGTTCATAATGAAAGATCTGTCTTAAATAGATGTTTAATTACACAATGTTTTAAGATAACGTTAATTTTCTTATATTAGAAAGATTTCTTCAGACATTTGTTAGTAGTATTATATATATAGAAGGTCGTTGTTAAGTGTCTAAAAATGAGAGAAATAAATATAGCCGCCTTGCAGGAGACAGGTAAGAATAGTTTTGTTTGATGGAGTAAAGTGACTTAAAAATAAATTTGTCATATAATGAAGAAGAAGGAAGAAGAAGAAGCCTCTTGTACATGACAATCCTCAGTCCATCGAATAAACTTTTTAATACCGCCGTGGATCAATAACCTCAAGACTGCCCTCGGAACGTAAAAGGGCACAAGTAACACTTTTATTAAAATTGAGTTATATACATATTCAGAATCAGGAAGAAAAGAGAAATCTACCTATATTTTTTCGTAGATATATTTCTACGTCAATAATAGTTTTTTTTATATATACCAAGTGACGGGGCGAACAAGTCGGTGGTAAGCAAAGCGACACGGTTATCTATAACAGTTGCAGTGCCATTCAGAACCTTAAATAGCAAAGATCTTAGGGTCAATGCCACTGCGCCCGTCACCCTGACACATAAGTTGACAAGTCCATCTTCTCGTAATTTCACCAGCATTCTTACCCCTCCAAACTGGAACGAAGTAATGCTGACATTACTGCTTGGCGGCAGAAATAGGTAAGATGGCAGTACTTCCCTGGTGGAACTCTTTCACAAGGAAATCTACTACTGCTATATTCTACTCTCTAGTTGAATATACTGCAAGCTCAAAAGGCGCAAGTGACATGAGTAATCAAACACGGAATATTAGGGGATTCGTTGCCTGGAAGAAGCTATTTTCTTGGATGAAGATACAAGGATATGTTCACATTGTGAAGGTCAGACCATTAGTAATTACGAAATATCAAAAGTAATTTCATTTGATTTGAATGTGTGATATATTCTTTAAAACATAGTTTACGTGCTACGATATTTTATTGAATAATTTATGTCAAACAACTCCATGACAATCCTTTACCAATGAGAGATATACTCGTATAACAGAACGGTATTTATTAGAATTTATTCATTTGTAGGGGCAATTGAATTTATCCCCCCCCCCCCATTTAATAATGGTATTGGCCATTACAAATGCCAGTCTTTAATCAATGAAATTTTTAGGTATGTTATGATGATAATTCTTGTAAAATTGCTGAAAATACTAAAAAAGAGCATGTGTTTGCATGTAATAACGCTCTCGTGGATACTTAAAAATACCCTTCGTAAACCTTCATATTTCAATTGGTTCTGATTTAAAAGATTTTTAAGTTAGAAATAGCATGTTATTATGTGGACACCATAATAGATACTCGGCTAAGGAAATATTAAAAAGCAAATTATCTTGTCTAATAAGTCACCAATCCATTTAAAAATAAACGTATATAAAGTAAAGCTTTTTGACTAAACCTCAATAGGACGAATATTTCTATAATGCTTATATTTTAGGATATTTTAATTAATTCACATTTATATAGTGTATCAACTGAGGGACCCCAAATAAATATGACATTTACGAAATTGACTCGTAGTTGTTGTTTTTTTGTTAGCGGATAAATAATATAAATATTTTAATTAATTTACTCATATATACGTTTTTTAAATGTGGTCCTCAGGGATAATATAACGAAATAATATATCATCATTGCCAAATTGCGATTCGATTTGTTTGTTGTCGAAAATTAAGGTATTATTATAAACGGCTTAAAATACATAGAATGTTTCTGTATAAACATGGCCTATGTTTTTATAACATAAATAAACATATATTCGGAACAGAAAGTTGATAGAGTATCCCGCGTGAATTTGATACTGTGTTCATACATTGTAGATCAAGGTGATCAATCTTTTTGTGTCTCGTTGTCATTCGAGGCAAAAAGTGGTTTTGTTCCGCTTCAAGCTGGACCTACTAGTAGCTGTATACGGCGTGCATACACCTTCTGACCAATGACACGAAGCTAGATCAAAGGTTATATCGCTCATCACTATTTGAGAATCAAATAATGAAAATTTACGTCCATCAGCTTCTTTGGTGCTAAATCTACAGTACACTGGTGTTGGTCACTGCGCTCAGAAGTTGGCTTAACAGTAGCGCTGGTAACATAAAAAGTGCATCAAGTCATTGTGGAACGACAAATATTGTTACAAATTTTTTGAGTGTCCCAATTTTCTCATAACCTGTTTTCTAAAGGCTCATCAAAAATTATGTTTTTTTTTAAAGCTAATTTGTATTTGGGCGTTAATGGGTTAACAAAAATGATTAATCCCATTAAGCTCCATATGATTATGCAGTCGCTTGATTTGTTTCAGTGTAGCTTCGTAGATAACTATCAAGCATAATAATTACCGTTACAATTTTAGCAATGAATATAATCATGTTATGATTGATTACATAAAAAAATGTGATTAATCCCATTAATAGATACTTATGGATAATATACCATGTGATGAGTAGATATGAAGGCATCATCAGTAAAAGATCGTGCGTCAGTTTCCTCGAACCTCCGTCAAAGTGAAATGTAGAAAGGCGAAACTATTCCTCTTATTCCACACATCATGTGGACAGCCGTCCAGCGCAGGCGATGTGGGCACGGCACTTCACCAATGTTAGTGACTTAAATGATTTATATGGGACAAAAAATTTCATTCAGGTTTTTACGTGCAAAATATCCCTTATTCATAATGTTATTCCCGACCTCGCTACGTACTTAAACATAATGGGTCTCTTTTTGAATTTAAAGGGTCACTTTTATTAACCTGGTTCCTAACATTAAAATAAATAACTTCCACGACTGTTAGAGTCTGTAACAACATAACTCATACAAACATTTTTATTAACTATCTATAAATATTTCGGCTAAACTGAAAAATGTTGACTTTATTTTAAATTACAATGGAATTGTAAAAAAATACTTAATGGAATCAATCACAACACGAGTAAATTAATTATTTAAATTTGTTGCTGCAACGATTGTGCGCCATGATGAGCCTAATATTATCATTATCATCGTCATCGTCCACAGCCTGATTTAACCTACTGCAGGATAAAAACCTCCTGTAGTTTATATCTCCCTTCACTAGTGTCACTCATCTACGGCCTTTCAAACTCACATCATTTTTATTTCATTGGTGAAGAAGTTACACCTGAAATCGTCATATTGATTAAACTCTACTACTCATTCGTAAGGTAGATTCCCATGAGAACAATGAACAGGAAACTCTAAGGGTTACTCTTTGTAAATATACATTTGAATACATTTGTCATTTAAAATATTTATTTCATACATCTTAGATCGAGACTTACTTTTATTTCTTTGCAGAACGTCATACGTTTCTGTTATCACCTCTTGACTACCATTCGGTTGCCACATTACTACATCTATTTTGTATTTGTATCATCACTATGTGCCATAATATGTGTCGCCAAATATCCATACCATTTCAATTTCATTATCAAGGTACAGACCTTAATTTGCCTACGAATTTCGAAATTCGTTCTATAAGTTAGATACCAAGCATGACACGCTTCATCAAGTCTTTGATAGGTTCAGAACATGTTGTAAGTAAACAAGTTTTTTGATCACCTTACACAACAAGATGTTTATTTCAAGCACATTGTTTTTCAATGCAGCTGAGACAGGTTTTAGTGGATATTAACTGCCTCCGTGGCCGAACGGTTACCATGCCGGACTGCCACGCAGAGGTCCCAGGTTCGATTCCCGGGCCGGGAGAAATGTTTGTATAGCTTACATTTATTTCTCTCGTGAGTTTGGGTGTAATTTGTGGTTGTCTATGTGTGTGTCCATGGCACCCGCGACACAGGGTTTTCCCTAGTGCGGGGCTATATTGAGTGTGTGCGTTATTATTATTATTTAGAAATATTTTCTTTTCAAAATATTTATTTTCACCAATACCATAAAAGTTATTTCATTTAATGATAACAATACCCAATACTGTGAGGTTTCGGGTTATTTAACATAACATATATTGTGAGGTAAACATTGTGAGAGAGTGAAGCCTTAGCTAGGCAGAGCCTTTGTTGTAGGTCTCCAAGGACTCGAGCCGTTAAATAACAATATTTTTCAAAAATGACTATGCCTACTTATTATTATGAAAAGTGCAATGAAGTAGACAATTATAACTACCCTAGTGGTGCAACGGGTTTGTTTCCGGTAGGACTAATTTTGGAATGGGGTGTTTTGGGTAGTGCATTGGCCTGAATTCCAGTCACAGACATATAATATCTAAATAGATGCCGCAACCTGTGTACCTACTTCGCGTGCCTAATGTAATATAAAAACGCTTAGTTGCCGCTGCTATTCTTCAAAACCCGCCCGGCCGTAGTTAAACATCAGTCGAAAACGCGAAAAATGCGTAATTGTGCCATTAGAAACTGCAAAAATACCACAGCGGTGAGTAGATGAATAAACAGGAAGGCTTTCTTCCACAACTTAAGTCATTTTGTAATTAGAATATGGGTAATTTATTTTAAAATCAATATTTAATTTCTTTTTGTATGAATTTCGACAAAAATTATATACAAACAAGTGTAAACCGCATATTCGTAATACAATGCGGCTTTTACTTGGTGCGGTACGTTTATAGTCCTTCTTTAGTAGGCCATGGATATCTAACGGGCGATACTTTCATACCGTGCATTCAGTTACGTGGTTACAGTCGGTTCGTCATATATTTAGTCAAATTTTGCGATTAGAGATGTTCAATTTTAGTAACAATTAGGTTCAACTCACACTGGCGCAGAGTCGAAGCGTCGCGACGCGTCATGTTTTTCACCTATAGTATATTCATCTCTATTTTCCCATTATTAAGGTACAAATTTGCGCAAATATAGAAGTCACTTGAGCGCAATGAGGCGTCTGACGCCGACCACACTGTGATCCGGGCGCACTAATGCGAGTGTCGGATTAATGGCGACGACGCGAGTCGCTAAGCGTTGTAGTTGAAAAACACGACGCGACGCGACGCTTCGACTCTGCGCCAGTGTGTGTTGAGCCTTAGTCCATATCACGGTGATCATGGGCCTGTAAAGGGCCCGAAACGTGGGTTTGTTTGAAAAAACAAATATATACGATTTAAATCCGGAAAAATAGTTTCATTTCCTATGTGTAACAATCGCGAAAACCTAAGAACTCGATTTAGTAACACTTTACGATTCTGATAGATTTACGAAACAAAGGGATGATAATTCTTATGACCTTCGAAATGTTATAAAAATTCTATAATTCTATAACGTTTTGTTATTTTCATTGACGAAAAACTATGTAGTAAATTTAATTAGGGCAGTCACAAGTTAATATATTGACGAGCGTTTTCATTATTTCAGTAAGCATTCGAGATGTTCTGTAGCGAAAAGATAATTATATAATAAGCTCATGTTATTGCAAGAACAATAATTTTAATATACGCTAGCCATTGAAGTCGATTAAAAATTTTTGAGCAATATTTTTCCAAAACACATTTTAATAAAGGACATAACTATCTTATTCTGGTATTAATTTTAGTATATTAATATTTCATAGCTCCTTATAATCAACATTTACTTGAAAAAATATTATTTTGTATACGTGCTGCGTCTTCGATTAAATTAATCGCTTTATCGATGGAGGTTTCCCATCACTAAATAGCGCTTGTGATATCATCACATTTCCTTCATATTCACACACTGACTTTTACCTATTCTCATTGACTTACAAATAAATGGACGACGGGTCTAATACAAAAACCACGAAAAAAATGTCCCAAGTCAACCTATTCGAAATTTAAATTGTTATGTCATCGCAGTATCGCGCTGTCCGTAGAACAAATGAAGACTAAAGCGGAGTGTCGCGCTCTGTATACTATTTTAGCGCCTTACAAGTGCGGACACTTTTTAGCGCGGACCCGACGTCCATATAATTGTAAGTCAATGCCTATTCTTAAAGTAATGCTTCCAAACCGACACCCTTGATAAGAAATTTAAAATAAATAGGCAGCTTTGCCATCTCCTGAATAGTCACTCTTTATAAGACACGGATTTGAGAAAGTAAGGCATCGAAATGTGGCACGCGTGGTTTTCATGTAGATCGCGCTTGCGGTGTTTATTTAAATATATATCTGTGAATCCAATGCTCTGGTAGTCATTTCCTATTTGTGGTCAGGCCCTGTACTATCATTCTTCGTCCGACATGCGTCCGAAACAATTACCATCAAATAAGTAATACTCGACCATTAACTTACAAATAAATCGACGACGGGTCTTATTCAAAAACCACGAAAAAAATGTCCCAAGTCAACCGATTTAAACGTAGTGACATGTAAAGGAATGTAATGTCATCGCAGTACTATCTAATTTTGCTTGCTTCGCTGTCAGAAGAAACAAACGAAGACTAAAGCGTGAATGATGCTCTGTATACGATTTTAACGCCCTATAAGTTCGGACACCTTTTAGCGCGGACCCGACGTCCATATAATTGTAAGTCAATGTACTCGACCAAATAAAAAAAACACATGATGCGAATGAAGCTTCGTACATTGTCTTTTAATTTTGGTGGAATAATTGTACTGCTCACAGACCACAAATATTATTTAGTTGTAAATAATCTCAGTACAGAGTACTACAAAAACCGACCTCAAAAGTACGTGGAATTACATATAATTACTAAGTTTTATTAAAATCGGTTGCCGGAAAGTGCGCAAACCCGGATACGTCCCCTAGTTCGCCACTATACGGGACTTGACACAGGAGATAATAAAAATCGGTTCTCACTTCTCAAAGTATATTGAGAGAGAAAAACGCCTTGAATTGGAGAATAGCAAAATCAACCTTTAAAATAATTGCTCCTTATAAGAAAATTTAGGCGCTATTTATATAAATGAATGTTCATACCTGAACAGCCACCCTTAGAGGTGATTGATTTTCTTCAAAATGAAATGGGACCACTATGGAGGTACCCTCTTCCCAACAAAACAAGAATTATGAAAATCGGTTCACAAACACCGGAGTTATCGCGTAACATACATATAAAAAAAACACACAGTCGAATTGAGAACCACCTCCTTGTTTTGAAGTCGGTTAAAAATAAATCATCATTTAGCTGAATGAAAAATATGTACTTTTATAACGAACTTATCAAAATGTGTCCTAACAAGTTTCTATGAAATGTGGTTGCACCCACATACAAACTTTAGCCGAGCGGACTAGTTTTAACCGCAAACTGACTTGAGCTTCAACTACCCTGGGGACACCACGGCTCGCTCTACTAAGCGTTACAGACCTTGTGGTCAAGAACTCGAAAACTCAGAACTATGAAATTGCTTTAACTTTACAGTAAATTGCATAAACAACCTTATGAATTTAGGTTTGTTATTTGTGCAAATGATGTAGTATGGTTTCATTTGTAATTAAGTAGTTACCATTGCAGGATCGTGAATATAATTGTGTGTAAAAGTAGAAAACATAATTTTTTTAAATTTCTAAGTCGAATTTTATTAGAATACATTTAACGCACTTCAACAGTTCTATATCATCATTAGTCTCAAAAAATATACATAGATTGTAAATAAGTAATTAAATGTATTTATAATACAATTCATGAAAAGAAATAACCAATAAAATTAAAAATGTCGAGAATTTAAGAAAAATATTAAAAAATTGACCTTTTCGGTTGTAATTATAACATTTCGCAGTTCGAAATCGATACCTGAAATAGGAAAAAAGAAACGTTTAATTTTTGTTGTAATATTTACGGTTTACGAGAAATAGACAATTCAAACGGTAGTATACCTATCGCTTAAATATTTTTTCAAACATCTTTATATAGTTAGAAAAACAAGAGTTTATTAGGAATCCGAACAACAAAATTACAAAATAACCTCCCATCTCGAATTTGCTGTAAAATTTCTCGGCATGAATCTGTCATCTCTCTCTTCCGTATTGAGCATTTCGCGTTCCCTTTCCTCCTTTAATTTCTGCGAGTAAACTTCCTTATACATATCCCTCCATCCTTTTTCTCCGCATTTATGCTTGCCAGGGAAATCCCTGCCATAAAAATGGGACCATAGACAATCCTCGTTTACGATACCATTAATTCTTTTACACGACTCCGAAAGATTGAGCACATCTTTCAACGGTAATCTTATTAGGATCAAGTGCAAAATATCTACAGGCAGTCCACAAAGAGCGCAGCCTGGCGTGCTGTTGTAATTTAAAATAGTATTCTTTATAGGAGCTATGATTTTGTCTTTAAACAAAATGGAGAACTCGTCAATATTAGCGAAACTTGTTGGCACATTGAATGCTGATCCTCGAGATATGAAATATCTGCTTATTGGAAAGCAGGTCGAATAAGTTTCGGCGCGGATTTCTAATAAGGTCGCATTGATTAATATAACGTCATGCATTGGTGACATTATAAGTTTTACAGTAATATTTTCATATCCCTTCAGAAGGAATACAGCTTCGTGTATTGTTTTGCATCTTTTCATTAATACTATGTACTCGACAATACTAATTGTGTCGTTGCCAATTTCTTTGAGTAGCCGGAAATCATTTTCTTTCATCAACACAAGCAACAAAGAAAATAAAAGATCTTGTTTGAGACATTCAGGTTTGATTAACATTTCTATTAACGTATTCACTGTTTCTTGAAACTGTAGCGGCGTTTCTTCATTAATGTCCCATTCTTTGGATATTGTTTCCATATTACTATGTAATCAACAGCATTGTTTTCTGATATCACTAAAATGTTTGGAGGTTTTTTCAACTAAATTTTCGGCGAACGCTTTTATCCTTAACCAGACTTGAAGGAGGAAATTGGCTTTACAAATTTAATTTTTGGTGAAAATTGTATTATAAAATTTGGTCTTTGCTGTTGATTTCCTAAGCCTTATCACATTGATTCAGCGGATGTTCTTCATATTCAGTAAGGCTTCGAATAAGAACAAACGATATGATTTTGCATAGACAAAATACACATAGTAAACATTCCATTAAGACGAATGAATTAAATATCATAAATAATAAAAAAAGTAAAAAAAATTGATCACTTCATGGAGGACGGAAAAGAATAGTGTAAGGTTCACTTCAATGTTATTTTCTCATTTTATCAAAAACTGTCAAAGTGACGCAACTTAGTTTTATAAAAATAAAACATAAGCACCAAAGGGAATGCTTCATATTCTTATATGAAGCATTCTCTTTGGTGCTTGTCCAACTAATTACAACTTTTTAATAAACTGACCTTGAAAGTTAGCTTATCCGTTTTTTAGGCTGGTTTCATAGCTATAGCATAGAGGGTAGGATATTATAAACATGACTAATTAGACATATTTTTGTTTAATTTTACAGATAAAGACCACATAGAAGAAACAACTCCGGTACCAATGCAAGAAATAAATTCAGCGTTAAAAGAATGCGGCTTTGGCTGGTTTCAGAGAAGACTTCTGTGCGCATCTTTTTTTGCATTTATGTGCGGTGTCTTTGTGACTAATACCACGCCATATATTTTGCCAAACGCAGAATGCGACCTAAATATGAATTTGTTACACAAGGGTGTTCTTAACGCTGCTCCTTTCGTAGGTAAGTGACATGTATATTTTATCACTTAATATATATCAAGCTATCTTGGCACGTTATTACCTGGATTATTCTTATGTATCGTCTTTAATACCATTTTCAATGTTTCTCCATAAACTTGTGCAGTCAACTGTATATGTGGCTTAACACTTTCGATTTTGGACCATTTTTATCGTAGTCCTGAGTTAAATTTAAATGTGAGGTGTAAAAGTCAGCATGTTATTGACTGTCACTTTTAAACTTTCATGTATGATACACATTTAATTTCTCGATTTATCTTCAACTAACTCGTTTTATATCTCATTAAATTATTTTTCAGGAATGTTAGTATCATCTGTGGTAGCAGGGTTTCTAACAGATACATTTGGACGTAAAATTTTCCTAGTCGGTGGATACGGTGGGATGTTCTTTTTCGGTGTGGTATCAGCCTTCAGTCAGACTTATGAGATGTTAATTTGCAGCAAATTCTTTGAAGGACTTTTGTAAGTAACCTTTTTTATATAAAGTTCTTTTCCCTCAAAGTTTGTAAAATACTTTTTTCGTAACACCTACCTAGCATAAATAATCATCAGTTTGTTTGAAAGATGAGTTGTGGATTCTCTTAAATTTTGAAGTGGCTACAAATAACAAAATATATATTATATATATTAATATCTCGCATAAATGTTCATGAAAAACTTAAAATTATCTTTATTTCATAGTTGAGATCCCGTGAGTCGTCAAATTGTTTTAACACTTTTATTCATACGTATTTTGTTCTAACGGCCCATATAACAGGTCGGCTAACAAATAGCTATCTTGGTGTCTCAGTTGACTAAGCATTATAAAATTCTATAACAATGAATATTACAACAACTTGTAATATTACAAGTGAATTGGTTTTCTATCTCATACATTTTTGACAGTATGATCAAGAAATTTTCAATTTAGCTCCTATTGTATGAATATTCCTTAAACGTTTGAATTAAGTTAAAATTTTAAGAAGGCACCCACTAAAATTATATTCATTTCAAAATCAAAATTTAAAATAGCATTAATGAACTAAGTAGCCAAACGGATGGCCTTGACAGTTTTTATGTCATTTACAGTTACCGCCTTGTTCAGAACGGAAATTCCATTAAGAAGTTCGTGTTTACATTACTAAAAAGATTAATCATACTGTCTTCGCTATCTGCTTCTGTAGCTGGTTCTTATGATTTATTTACAAAAATTCATTTAAAGTCATCGTTTGATAAACTTTATCTCGTCAACATCTTATTTTTAGTTATCAACAACATTCAAATAACTCAGAAGGCTTAGCTAGTCATTTGAATGTTATTTGAGAACGAAATACAAAATGTATCCCAAATTACTTAAATAGTTTTCTAATTTCTAACTAGGTGTACCTCAAGGCAGCATGCTTGTCCCATTTTTATTTGTTAAAATTAAATCGTCAAAGGATTGGAAAAATTGATGGAACCTGTTTTATTGCAGGTTTGGAGCAGCGTATAGTCCTTGCATGACCTTTACGGCAGAGTACTGCCACAATGAGGTTAGAGACAGAGTGTTCTTGTTCCAATCGTCATTTCAGCCTATTGCACAAATTGTTTTGGCTGCATTGTCCTGGGCTATACTTATACAAGACTGGGAAACGTCTTTCTTCGGTGGACTTATCGGTTAGTAGGTAGTATGTAATCGTGCTTGTGATAAACGAACACTCATTGCGGTGGCAACTGGTATTGACAGGCATGTCGTTTAAAACCAGGTGCACGACTTGTTCGTCCCCTCATAAGGCATCATAAAAAAAACCTATGATGTAGTTGTAGAACCAATAGAATGTTGATTCTACATGTACTTCATTAAAATGTATAGGACAGATATTATTGTTCTAACGATTTCAGGGGGGTCCTCTGATAGTAGATGTTTGTTTTAATGGAAAGACTCAACAACAAAATATAATTGTAAACAAAAAATCATCACCAATTTAAAATTTGCCAATCTTTTAATTTTATTTTCACACCTACCTATTTTTCCTGACGTTTGGGTCAGGTTGCACTGTTCGTTTCTGGCTGCTCAAAATACCTATAGTATATGAAAAATATAGCGAGGGTGGATGAAGATTCCACCACAGAGACGGAGATATAACACCACATCACCAGTCAGCTTGTGACTACGGCCAATGGAACCTGGCCGAAATAGCGGGAAAATAGGTAGGTGTGAAAATACCTATTAGTACTAAAACGCGTTTAATCCCGTTTTCAAATGTTAGTACAATGTAATGCAAAAGTTTAAAAATGTATATGAGTTAATTATATTTTTTTCCAGTTCTGCATACTTGGAACTACTATCTAATCGTTATATCGCTATTTTCTTTAATTGCTTGCATTTTATATTGTCTACAACCCGAAAGTCCAAAGTACTTAGTCACACAAAATCGATTCGACGAAGCAAGGGAAACACTCAAAAAAATTTACAAAATGAATACTGGAAAACCTATAGAGACATTCTCGGTAAGTTTTGTTGAATTTTTTTGTAATATTTTTTATTGCTTGTTATTTTCTGACAATCAAGTTCGTAGTATCGCGTACAACATCACATTCGTTGCTTTGATTCTAAAGTAAGTAACTAAAGTAATTGTGTTATGGAAATCGAAAAGGACGACGGTAACATAAATACCCAGATCCGAGACAATATAGAAAAGTTTTTCTTCATTGACCTGGCCGGGGATCGAAGCCGAGACCTTAGAGATGGCGACATCATGAAAATCGGTGTGCCACCACGGAGGAAACCCACGGAGGTTATCAATGATGAACCTTTATGAAGTAGAACTTTGTTCTACCTGTCAAAACTCCATCCAGATAGTGAAGCAGTATTTTTTTACATTTTTTAATTGCCGTCATTTGCAATTGCAATTTAAAGTGAACAATTTAAGTCTTTTTTGCATTTTGATCTTTGATCGTTCTAAGACAAACTGAGCTCTAATTAACCAATTACAAAAAATGCAAAGTTTATCAACAGAAATCCTATATTTCTAAAAACCCTGGCTCTTGAAGTAGCCAAGTAAAGTAAATATTGTTTCATTATTTCAATTATATTGAATTTATTTGAAATTTGGTAAATAATTTATTTTTAACCGACTTCAAAAAAAGGAGCAGGTTCTCAATTCGATCATACGTTTTTTTTGTATGTATATTACGCGATGACTCCGGTATTAGTGAACCGATTTTCATGATTCTCTTTTGTTGGAAAGAGGGTACCTCCATAGTGGTCCCATATAATTGTAAAGAAAATCATCCACTTCTAAGGGTGGCTGTTCACGCATGAAGATTCATTTTTATAAATAGCGCCTAAATTTTACTATAAGGAGCAATTATTTTAATGGTTGATTGTGCTATTCTTTAATTCAAGGCGTTTTTTTCTCGCAATATACTTTGAGTAGTGAGAACCGATTTTTATTATGTCCTGTGTCAAGTCCCCTATAGTGGCGAATTAGGGGATGAATTCGGGTTTGCGCACTTTCCGGTAACCGATTTCAATAAAACTTGGCAAATAGATGTAATTCCACGTACTTTTGAGGTTGGTTTTTCTAATACTCTGTACTGAGATTATTAAATGCTGTCTTGTTTATACGCACCAGATGATATTATTCTTCTTTTCTGTAATTTGAGATCATAGTGGTCTGTGATTCTGTGATTTTTAGACTTAGGGTGTCGCTACACTTTTTCACATGGAATCATATTAAGGCGATCATAAAAAGCTTTACAAAGGACGAAAAAGACGTTGCGCGTTTCACGCCGGCAGTTCGAGTGGTAGCGAAACGCCATTTTCGCTCTTGCTGCAGGGACATAAAGTTTGTTCTGGTGGGCTGGAAGTGTAAAACAAGTTTGCTTTGGAACACCTTTTAACATCGAGTATATAACCAGAAATAGAGACGAAATGTTATTTAATTTGTTTGAAAACTATTTTGCCAGATCATTACTGTGACAACTGTGCTCCGATTGGCCAGCCCGAACTCGAAAGAATTGACGGGTCTCGTCAATGGGTGTCGTTAATTATTTTATTTCAAATCGACCAGTTAACTTGAGCTTTGCTATAATGATAATGACGAAAATAGCAAAATTACATATTTAATATTTAATTACCGATGAAATTTGATTCCGTTTGTTTTGTAATTAGATGTTTGCTGTTTTTCCCTACACCACCGAATGGAACAGCACGCCATTGTTAGAGATATTATCTTTATTTCAATAAATACAAAATTTTTTTGGAATGTATGGAGACGTACACACAGGTCAGTTGTTGGCGTAGTCCATATTTCAGTGCAAACGAGATTTGATATTTATAAGTCATGTATCACTGATGAGTTACTAGGAATATGGTCCTTATTTCGTCTCTTTTTCTGTTTATATACTCGATGTACACAAGCAACCGGCAACAAGCAGCGAATTTTCTAGTTTCATACAAATTGCGGTTGCGGAAACCGGCGACATTGTTCTGACTGCAATAACCGACGACTGTGTAGATTTTATGTCAATTATATGAAAACGGAATATTTACTTCTAGTTACCGGTTGCTTGTATCCCACACAAGACACACGTTTGCACGGCGCCTAAGGGTTGATTTACAGGCTCATTGGACTTGTCACCTTTGTCTCATGGTGACGGGAGCAGTGACAGTGTCTCTCAGATCTTTGCGATTGAAACGCGTGTCGCTTGCCACCAGACACACGACTTGTTCTTCCCGTCATTTGATATATTATTTAAAATAAAATAAAAAACTTGAAAGATGCGTTTGATTCAATATCTCGGGGAGTGGCAACTTAATTTACTTCCATTTTGATTAACATGGATTTCCTCAAAGTAACGCCTGAATGTAATGTATTTCTCTTGACTTGTTCTTGATGATGACGATGGTTTTTTTATCAAGTTTTTAGGTTGTTGCTGTTGTTACATAATTGGAAATGAATGAATGTTTTATTTCTAAGTGTTCTTTATATTCAATATTTTTTTATACATTATCTGTTACAGCTTGCAAACATTTGGAAAGAAAAAATATATCCAGTTCACGATGCTCCAGAACTTACAATAAAATCAACGTTTTCTTCTCAACTAGCCAACGGACTACATAACATAAAGCCAATGTTCAGGAAACCATTGTGTTTCTATTTGATTCTCGTTTGCGTTATGAATTATTTCACAATGACTTTGTAAGTATTTATGTCAGCAGAAGTGTACATTAAGAGTTTTGGGCATTTCGTAGTTTGATGTGCATTCGAATAATACAGTAGATTTGTAGATTTCTAATTTCCCATTATGCCGTGACGACCGATAGTCGTGATGTTTAAAGTGTCGTGGCTTGTATGTTTAAATGAGGTTGTTCACACATAGAATTTTGTTTGTTTGTTTTCGCAAAGTTCGAAAACGAAGCAAGAATTTTCAATCAGTGCGTTCTACATGTTATGACATACAGAGCCGAGACGTGGACACTCACGATATGGTTAGTTCACCAGTTGAAAGTCCCTCAGAGAGCTATGGAACGCGTTATGCTCGGAGTTTCTTTGAAGGACAAGGTACGGAAAGAAGTTATCCAACAGAGAACTAAGACCGTCGACATAGCTGGTAGAACAAGCTAGCTGAAATGGCAGTGGGCTGACCATATCTGTCAAAGAACCGTGAGTGGAGATCACGTCTCGGAAAACGTAGTGTAGGACGCCACATGGCCAGTCCCATATCATCCTACATAAGTTTTGTTTATAGTGCCTCTCCCTATCAACCTCTTGGTTATGAGGGAAGGGCACTATGAACCACCAGGGACCATCTACGTCAGGTCCTAACCCCGAATCAGCACGTTAGCATGTACTTCATCCGGTTCTCTGTAAGGCTAGTGCCTTGAGTAAGCCGCCCAAGGTGCACGTACAGCACTCTTCCTTTTTTCAAGGTAGGTACCGGAGCTGTCACTTTCCGCACGACTAACGGTTGCCACCGCTGAGCCGACTACCAAATCTCCTCATTGGTGGTGGAGCTGTAAGGCACGCTCACTTTCCGACGCGACGCCGTACGAACGGCGTCTCTTCAGTTCCCAAATTCCTAAGCGGCCGGATGGACCGGGAGATGTCTAGCTCATCCTCTACTAGCTCTCCGGGCTAGTGCCGGAGATGCCAAGTGGCAGTGTCCTGCGACAATGTCCGGACATAGCCACCGACTTAAAGTGCAACTCACGTGTCCCGCACGTCTCCTCGCCTCAGGCCCTCAAAACCGCTACCATACCTCGGACACTCCATATAACGGTCGAAAGTAACTAACTTTCCTACTAACCTACTATTACTACATATAGCGAGGCGCTATCTGCACACGCGCAAATGTGTGCGTGAAGTGGCAGGGTTACCCATCACTATCTCGTACTATGTATTACGTTAAGTGGTCAAAGCGGCAACATAGCGAAAGTTTTATCGCGGAACTTTTATCTATAATTCTATTCATAAAATCCTAATAATTACACATGTTCATTAGGTATTTATATCGATATAATATTATGTTTTCATTAATTCACTAACTAGAATAATATAGAAGATTTATTTAAAAAATGTATAAAAAGCATTTAAAATGTTATAATTTGGACAGGTACTTTTAAATAAGGTAACTAAGGTATTTGAAATTGCGTGTCCAACTTTATCGTTACCTAGTTAATAATTATTTAATTTAAATATTATTCACTACGTAATATTTATCGGCAATACAAATTGAAAATTCGAGAACCTCTGCTACTAGCTCACGAAGTTATGGCGTCTTTCGTATTGATATAATAAATCTGTGTAATGTATTACTTTGCACTAAACATATGAAGAAAATAATAATTGAATGAGTTGCAGACAAGTTTTTTTTACTTGTACTTTTTCATCTTTCGGTAAACGAAAGAAACTCCTCTCTTTATCCCGTTTAGACGATTATAAACAGCCGTACACAGCACAATTCTCAACCATTATAAATAGTAACGTAAAATGATGTTGTATATTAACGTACAAGTTTCGTAATGAATAAATGAAAACTATATTAAAATAATCAAAGCTATCTTAGCATGAAAGGGGCTCGCCGACAGCCTTATTGCCATTCAGCCCATGTGACCGTCAATGTGCGGGGTGTGATGCGGTATCTAAAGCTAGGGAGAGGCGGAGAGTGTCCGTTCTCGGTACTTTTTTGTTCTTTGCCGCTATTAAGACGCGTTAGCTGCGCGCGAGACGAACGCCCCGGTCACACCCTACCGGAGCAGACAAACGTGTTCGTCCCTGCAGCTAACCACAAACCCCGGCGAGTCCATACCCAAGTCCGGATCCACCAGAGACGCCCATGAAGACGTATAACTGGCGGATGGCTGGGGCCGGATGCCCGGCATACCATGGCCTTGCCGTCGAGCTCGTAGTCTCTCCGGAAAACTCTATCTCTCGGGTCAGTAGATAGGGACACTGTATGGCCAGATGGAGTGAGTGGGAAGGGCTGCTGGCAACAGATGGATGCAACGAGCTGAGGACCGGGCGAAATGGCGCGCATTGGGAGAGGCCTATGTCCAGCAATGGACTACGATAAGCTGTTGATGATGACACATAGAATTTAAAATACATAAACTGTCGTTCACGACTTTTCTTTTCTAACGTTACGACGACAGACTGTCGTGACAATGGGAAGAGCTCGAACGACAGTCATCCGACGATAAACAAAACGTCACGAGAAAATGTGACGACAGATTCAGAGCAGTTTCAAACGATTCTGTCGTGAAAACGACAAGGTGGATGCCGTGAACCGATATATTGTCGTCACGATCTAGTGGGAACAGCTGGACACGAATGTCGTTCAACGATAAAATAAACGTCCACGACACAGTCACGGTAGATAGTCGTAATACGGGAACAGGCTAGACGCGACAGTCGTCCAACGATAAATAAAACGTTACGACATAATGGGAACGCGCCTGTAGCCTAGTGGTTCGACGTATCCTCTCTCAAGCAGAGGCCGTGGAAGTGAATCTGAGCTCGCACCTTTGAGTTTCTCGGAATTTATGTGTGAAATTGAATTTGACATAAGCTTTTTAGTGAAGTATAACATCGTTAGGAAACCTGCACGTCGAAAAAGGTTCACAACCCTCGAAAACGTGTAAAGTTTCTTACCCACATTTGCCCAGGCAGCGTGGCGGAGTATGGTCTTAACCCTTTCCTCAGAGAAGACCCATACCCAGCAGTGGGACGTACAAATGGGTTGACTATGATGATGATGAGTAAACTTCAAATCGTCACATCGATTGGTTTTAATCGATATATTATAGTTCAAATTCACCTGAGAAGATTTTTTTATACGATCACATATATTTTATATATTTAATAGCTGGAAGCACACCGCACGTTCGTGTCATTTATATAATCATTGATATTTTTATTTGATTGATTTTTATTTGCCTCCGTAGCCGAACGGTTATCACGCTGGACTGCCACGCAGAGGTCCCGGGTTCGATTCCCGGACCAGCAGAAATATTTGTATGGCCTACATTTATTTCTGTTGTGAGTTTGGGTGTAATTTGTGGTTGTCTATGTGTATCCCCATGGCACCCGCGATACAGGACTTCCCTAGTGCGGGGCTAATTAGTGTTTGCCTTATTATTATTATTATTATGTTTTTCTCAATCGAGTACATTTTTAACATGTGCTTTCATTTTTTCTTGACACATTTTGTACATTTACTTTATTGAATATCATGAGTTTTTTTGTTATTATCATGATATTCATGTATTATTTTGGAAATTCTCCATTAGTTACGGCAAAAGTCGTTAAAATCAAAAACAAAGATCTGCAGCTAATCACTGCTATCCATCGAGTATAAACTAGAAATAGAGACGAAATAAGGGCTATCCATCCCCGGCAACTCATCAGGCAAATGGGCCTTATATCACTTATAAATATCAACTCTCGTTTGCGCTGAAATCACAAATTAGAAAACTGAAATAGTACAGCGCCAACAACTGACTTGTGTGTACGTCTCTGTATATTCCAAAAATATTATGTATTTATTGTAATAAAGATAATATCTTTAACTATGGGGGGCTGTTCCATTCGGTGATGTGGGAAACAAAACAGCAAAACATCTAAATACAAAACAAACGGAATCACATTTCATCGGTAATTAAATATGTAATTTTTCATAGGAAACGAAACTATTTTTCCGGATTTAAATCGCGTATATTTGTTTTTTCAAACAAACCGACGTTTCGGGCCCTTTACAGGTCCCATGGTCACGGTTGACTTTTTGTCTGTTGTCTGACTGTTTGAAAAAACAAATATACGCGATTTAAATCCGGAAAAATAGTTTCATTTCCTATGTGTAACAATCGCGAAAACCTAAGAACTCGATATGTAATTTTTCAATTTTCGTCCATTATAGCAAGTTAAACTGGTTAATTGAAGTGATAATAATTGACGACACCCGTTAATTGTTTCGAATTCGGGATCGCCAATCGGAGCGCAGTTGTCACCGCAATGATATAGCAGATTATTTTTCAAATAAATTAAATGACATTTCGTCTATATTTCTGGTAATATACTCGACGCATCCAGCACACGAGCAATAATGATATTGAGTTCTTAAGTTTTTGCGATAGTTATTGAAAAGTGAAACTATTTTTGTGGGTCAAAATCGCCTATACTTCCTTTTTCAAATAAGCAAATGTTTCATGCCCTCTACAGGCCCTATGCTCACGGCTGACTGTCACGTGTCACATGTCAGCCGTGACTATGAGACCTGGACGCTGGCCCAATATTTGGGGATTTCTAAGTGTGCAAACCGTCTTCAATGTACATATTTTATCACAATGTTTTCCTTTACTGTTAGCGAAAAATACTTTGAAATTATAGACACTAATTAAAAATAATTACATATAGTATTTCCTATATTGTAACCTTTTACGACTTTCAGATACAATACTATCAGGCTATGGTTCCCACAGCTTTCAACCATAGTTGAACATTACGCTGGAGTTGATGGAAATTCGGAACTCTGCGGAACGTTAGATGCGTATACAAAAGATTTGAGATTAAAAGCTGTTAATGTAACGGATGCAGTTAAACACGGTTGCTTACCAGTAAGTAAAGATGACAAAGTGTCTTTTCATGTACAGATGAAAAAGATTTAAATATTAATATTAATGACATACTCAGTAATGTATATAGCTGGCTTGAGGATCACAATTTAATTATCTATTATACATAAACAAAATTAATACATTTTAGACCACTTCAAAAGACTCCACTGCATATAAATTTTACTGTGAATAACTCTCCAATAGAAACAGTGAGTACTTTTAATTTACTTGGGATAACAATTGACATAAATATAAATTGGAAACAACACAATAATAATATCTCAGGTAAACTCAGTAGATTTAGTTATGCATTGTTACAACTGAAGAACAGCAACAGCTGCTTACTATGATAATAGCACAGATGCTCTGCGCTTGTTGACTCTACAAAAAAAAATGTATAAGAATATTAGTAAACATCGACCCATTGGAAAGCTGCAGGCCACATTTCATGAAATTGAGTATTTTAACTTTACCATCTTTACACATTTCAAAATATGCAAATTCGTCAACAAAAAACATTTCTTCACTAAAGCAAAGGACACCTACACTAAATCGTTAAACCTCAGACGTAAAGATAGACTACGCTACCTAGCTCAAAATTAAAAATGCATTGCTCAGGACCATTTGTGATGGCGATTAAAATCTTCAATAGAATACCAAAGGAAATTTCATCCCAGACTAATTTATTTACCAAAAAGCGCATCTGATAAAAAAATTTTATTTCAAGAGTTTTTTGAAGAACAATTAATATTATTTGAATTTATGATACTTTTGATTGCGGCGCCCTAACATGTTGGCACTATTTAAGATCTGTGTAACACATGGAAGTAATAAATACTTTGACTTTGACAAAGCACATGTCTATTTCGACTCTTAAATAATTGAATCTCTTTAGCAGCAGTAGAGCTTCTTGTGAAAGAGTTCATCTAGGAAAGTACTCTCACTACACCTTTTTCTACCGCCAAACTGTAATGTGAGCATTACTGCGTTTTGGCACTCGAGATTTGTCAACTTATACTATGTCTCAAGACGACGGGTCCAGTAGAAGTGATACTTGCGGTTTAAAACGATATAATTGTACTGCAACTGTTATGGGTAGTTACTATAAGGGGTACGACTTGTTCGTTCTGTCACTTTATAGCATAGAGAAAAAACATAACACATAACTACAGTACCGGCACGTTATTATGGCAGTTTTGACAGATTACAATAGTGAAGTCAAATCTCAATTCATTATCGAAAAAAATGTAATCAAATGCGAATAGCATCTATATGTTTTTAGATTTATAACTAGCAAGGGGAAATTGAGAAAAAAGTTTTAATAAAACGAACGTAAAAATGTTTACTTAATATATCTTCTATTCGAAACTGCTCTGTTTTGCTTTGAGCTTTGACACAAGTTTGCCGGAGGTAGAAGTTGTGCTGGACATCGACCCTATAAGTGACGATCGTATTAGATTTCATTTTTTTAAATTTCGAATTTCGATTACGCCGAGTTGTGTCGTAAAATTACACATCCAGAAAATATACTTCACGTCACTATTGACAACCATGTACAGCAATTAGCTGTTTCACAACGTAGTTGTGAATTAATACGAAACTTGGTGAGCGAACAAACGTCACAACGGCCGTCATGGCGAGCCGGTACTGTAGGACAGTTATCTAGTCAATGATGATGATCAATGGTATACTGAAAGCAATACGAGAAATAATTATTGATTTTTTGTTTCTGCAATGTAAACAAATTCGAACTGAAGGCATTATTTGATTTTAAAAAAGTCGGGACAAAATAAGAAAAAAAGAGCCTATAAATATATTTTATTTATCTCAACGTTTCGTATGTGTTGCAACATCCAGGGTCTCGAAGGGAGTTTCGGACGTGTTGTAAAAGTCAATGGTCTTGAAGGGAGGTTGAGCTCCTTGGAGACAAAATAAAATATATTTATACGCGATCAAGTCGTGTTTTATTTTTGAACGGGGTACACCATTTCGTTATATGGACCTTAAAAAACCAACTGTAGGCTTTACAGTACGATTCTCAAGTGCTTTCTGTGTAGTTGCTATTGCTTTCTTTATAGGGAAGTATCAACAAGAGACTGGTGAAAATTCAATGATTTATATTGACAATACAAATTAACGACAAAACAAAAGTGACAAAAATAGAAAAGGGTACGCTGAGGTGGTTTGGGTAAATGGAGCGAATGAACGAATGTAGATTAACGAATGAAATATATAGAGCTAACGTAGAAGGAATCATTGGAAGAGGACCGCCAAAGAAAATTCTCTGATCAAATTGAGAGTGTTCTTAAAAAGATTAGAATACGTAGTGAGAAGAATAAAAATATGTATGAAAACATTGGTGAATGTAATACAAGCAAGAGAGGTTTGTAAGGATCGTGCTAAGTGGCGATCGATAGTCTCTGCCTACCCCAGTGGGAATCTAAGGGCGTGAGTATATAAATAAATAAAAATACATTGACATATTTTTACTGAATCAATATAAGCACTATGATACGAAGAAAAGTAGTGACATTTTTTTAACGGGTTATATCAATATAGAACTAACGTTGGTAACAACAGTGTCTGTAGCACTCAGTAAGCTTACAGAGGAAAGTTATTATTTCTCTCAAATGTTAAATAAGGTGTACGGAAGTTTGATCGGAATCACAGGTCGCCGAAGCAATTTCCGTCAAAGAACTTTAGAGTAAGAACTCGAATTGGACGTTTGAAGTTCTCTGTCGTGGTTTCAAACAGACTATGTTTAAACTTGCTTTGCCGAAGAAAATGTGTTGATAAAGCGTTAATGTACAAAAGTTCGACTACCTCTGTGGCCTAATGGTTTGTAATGGATGAGGAGTACTCGGTAGTACAGGAATTGAAGATTTCTACATTGTTTCTTGTATTTGATTTTGGGTAGCGCCCTGCAGTGAATTGAATTATCTAGCATTTTTTTTATAATATCAAGAGACGGGACGAACAAGTTGTGCGCCTGATGGTAACCTACACGCCTGTTCATAACAGTTGCAGTGTCCTAAGAGCTTTAAATCGCAAAGATCTGAAGGGCACTGTCACTATGCCCGTCACCCTGAGACATAAGTTGACAAGTCCCATGTACCTGTAATATCACCAACATGTTTCATAAACAACCTAAAACGCAGCCTTTACTAGATGACAGCTAATAACATGCGACCAAATTAAAAAGTACAGCAGTAATACGACGTATGAAATTCAACACTAAATCAAGTTTAGTAGTGAATTTAACCAAGTGACAGCTGAAGTTTGTTTACTTTTAGTTATTTACCTGAACCTGTCTGGCACAATCTCATTTCTGTTATGTTAAAAAAAATTACGTACCATATCACCATACCATGCTGGCCTGCCATGCAGATCTTATTTTTTCTCCCGTGAGTTTGGGGATATCCGCTCACGCGATGCGCTCATCCTACCGCAAAATGGCGGCTATTTGGTTTCGCAAATTAGAAAAGGATTCAGTTTAAATACAAGTTTTTATAAATAAAAATTATTATTCTGCATTGCTAAATAAATACCTTCCGTACTACAACAAAAACATCTCAAATAAAATGCAGTAATACACCGCAAATCCTGCACTTAAAAAGCACTAATGAAATTTTTGGTGTACTTGGGTAAATATGATAATATTCCGTTTGAGTGGTTCTAACGTTTACCATGAAATTACTCCTTAAGTATAGTTTATAAACATTTATATTCAGGGTAAACTTAAAAAACGCTACTTACGGTATGTTTTCAATAAATAAATACCGAAATCACCAGCCCAAACAATAACACACACGGTTGTCATGACGTATTTTTGAAGTTGTTTATTTTTTTTTAAATGGCAGACCCTGGCACTAAAAACTTTATGATTTGCTAGAGTAGTTACCGAAATAGCAATTAGTATTAGTTCTTTTACCTGTTATAACTTCGATATCCGATAAATCGGTATAAAATCATCACCACTAGGTGTGGTATGCGTCTGCGGCTGCATGTATCGCGTGAGCGGCTATGAGTGTGTGTTTTTTTTTCAGACTCGCAGTGGTACAGAAACATATGTGAACAGTATAATCTTAGGTTGTGTTAGTGTGACGCCATACGTTTTGAGCGGGATCCTTGTGAACAAAGTTGGAAAGAAGATTTTGATCATATCAGCCGCCCTGCTAACGATTGCCGCAACTTTATGGTTGAGGTGGTCAAGTTCAAGGATCGAAATAGTGGGATTATTTGCTGCCGATATGGCGTTTGGTCAGACTTTGATGAGCCTTTTGCAATCTACTACTATTGATCTCTTCCCGACTTCTATAAGGTAAGTGTTTCTTCTATGTTTTGTATACATTGAGTAGTAGTGGAGCTCCCTGTAAAAGAGTTCGTCCAGGAAAGTACTGCTACCTTACCTATATATGCCGCCAAGCCATAATGTGAGTAAAGCTCAGAGTGGCACTGCAACTGTAATGTACAAGCGTGTCGTTTACGACCAGGTCCACGACGTGTTCGACTGTTTGGTCAGGTAGTATTTTCATTTATCTGTCTGGATTTTATTATTTTTTTAATGGGGCTGCCATATTCAGTAATGATCAAAGCCCTTAAATAAAGAAAGAGTAAAAAACAATTCTTAGGCTTTCGCGATTTTTATATATTGAAAATGAAACTAGTTTTTTGGATCTAATCTAAACCGAGTCTATTAAATGTTTTTTTAAAACAAACAAACATTTCGGGTTCTTTCTATTAATTGTTTTTTAAAACATACAAACGTTTCGGGTTCTTTACAAGTACTTTGATCACGGCTGAATTTTTAATTTACCAAAGAACATTCCAATTTACGCTACGAACGATTTGTAAATGTTTTAACAACACGTTTTTTTAATAAATAAAATTTTTTATTAATCAAAACAAACTCAGAAATAAATTACGATTATAAATCACGATACGTTGGTTTGTTTGAAATAACAAATGTACGCAATTAAGATCTGAAAAAATAGTTTCCTTTACAAAGTAATGCTTTCTTTCTTCTATTTACTTATTGATTAATTTTAGGAAACTTTTTAAGGCCAATTTGATTTTAAGCGTACATTCACTTAAATACACAATACAAATTTCAACCATAAATGCGTCAGAACCAAAATCACATGAGTAAAGAAAAGGAACAGAGGCAAAGCTTCATACAACCGCGTTATGACAGGTACACTTCTACAAGCTTGTGGCGCGTGTGTAAGTGAGCGCCGGCGGCTTCGTCAACTTAAGTTTCCATTGAATTATTTAAAAAGACTTTATGTTAGATTTAGAATGTACCATTCAATTAAAAGGCACAACAAATTATTGAAATACAAAAATTATAAAAAATAAACTATTCAGAATTAGTCATTTGTAATAAAATATGCTGTCATATCCTAAAGTTTTGTTTATTTAATTTTGTTCTCCTGTGCCAACCCTATTAAAATAGGTATAAATGTTGCACACTATAGAATTCTTTGTCTCTATTCCTTCACTTTACTCATGTGCTAAAAGGTCGGCTAGAATTCGGTGACAGTACATTGTTTGCATAATGATAACATGGTGATAGAGTAAGTAGAGTAAAATAACTACTTTCAAGAATCAAGTTTCGTGAACCGAATGTAGAGTAAATAAAAAAATCTTTATTATTTATATTACTTCTATTTTATTATTAAAAATAAATCGAGATTGCGGTGAAGGAAGGAACAAGGCGGTGAGAGCTAAACGCATCGGCGGCGGGAAGCCAGAGGCAACTTGAACACCCGGCGCGGCGCCGCAAATAGAATTTATTTTTAATTAAAAATAAATTACTACATAATACAAAAATGACAGATGCATGATATCGAACTTAGTTTAATGTGGTTTTGAAGGATAAAACATAATTATTTTCATCAGACTTGCACGTATATAGTATGATTGTATGTAGGCTAACTTGATTATAATGCCCCAAATAAAACACTCAAGCCTTTTTTCTTCTCATTATTGACCATGTCTGTAATGAAAAGAAAAAAGGTCCTAGCATTTTATTACGGGCATTATAGTCAAGTTAGCCTGCATGCAATGTGCAAGTGTGATGAAAAACATTGTACGTTTCACGGGCGGTGTGATATTACGAAGCTTAACTCCAAAAGCCCCCAGTCTTCTCTTCTAATAGAATCTCGTTCGTAAAATCTCGATTCTCTCTTCGTTTATTGCCCTTAATACGCAATGTACTATTACAGTATTTATAGCGGCCCTAACAGTCATACTGTGTTCCTAAAATTGGCTGATTATTTACACAAATTTTATATTTCAGAACACTGGCGATATCAATGTTAATGACAGTAGGTCGCATTGGATCAATGGTAGCAAACGTTCTATTCCCTATACTTCTAGACATAGGGTGTATTGTACCGTTCTATACCTTCGCAGCAATTATGATTTGTAAGTATATTTTACGGTGTAAATCCGGGCTTTCACCGCCCGCTCCGTTCCAGCCCGTATTAACACGTGATCCGAATGCACTTAAACACCGTCTTCCGATCCGCGGATGAGAACGATGTTCTCTTTTTACAAGCTGATTTGGTAAAATTGACAAAACAAAATGGCGTCAAATAAAAAGTTTATTACACTGGGACGCTCGTGTCGTGTCAATAACATTTCGAGTGCACTTCTATACGACCGAACTCGTACGAGCGCGTTCGGTCCGTGGGTCGTAACATGAAAACACAACTTCACGTAAATAACAGGCGAGCGCAGTGTCCGCCGAAAAACGCCTTTTATGTTTCTTTGAATTCACTCGTGGCGCCTTATACTGAGGAAGGCGAGGCGAGATTCAAACAAACTGATTGAAAATCAAACCGCAGATGATGCCTTATATTAGAACAATCTATATCAATCCTATGTAAATTATTGGTATTACTGCATTGACTTACAAATAAATGGACGACGGGTCTAATACAAAAACCACGAAAAAAATGTCCCAAGTCAACCTATTCGAAATTTAAATTGTTATGTCATCGCAGTATCGCGCTGTCCGTAGAACAAATGAAGACTAAAGCGGAGTGTCGCGCTCTGTATACGGTTTTAGCGCCTTACAAGTGCGGACACTTTTTAGCGCGGACCCGACGTCCATATAATTGTAAGTCAATGTATTACTGTCGTCGTAAGTATGCTGTTTAGTTCCTAATCTTTGTACTTCTTCAGCTTTATTACGAAAAAAATTGGTTACGTAAATTCGATAGTAAAAATTTGTGATGGAGTCTGTTCCGAAACACTCCATCGACATTTCTTTATTTTAGTCTTTTAAACGGACAGTTGCTGTATTTTTTTTTGCGCTGTTACTCCAATATTTGTGAACTGATTTCGATTATTATTTTTTTGTTGGAAAAAGGGTACTTCAATAATGATTCCATACAAATTTGAAGAACATATTCCACTGTAAGGTTGGCAAATTAAGAGATGAATCCAGTTTATTGGTTTATTAGTTTTCACCCACTTTCCGTTAACCTATTTCAATAAAACTTGACAATTAGATATTCGTCGTCTCACTTTCTCAAACTCTTATCTTAAAGCACAAAGTTACTGAAATGCAATAAGTGGATTGTATATACGTATATTGGAGGCTGATTTCATATTACATTTCCTTCATATTCACACACTGGCTTTTTATGTATTCTTAAAGTAATGGATCCAAATTAACACCCTTGATAGGAAATTTAAAATAAATAGAAAGTTTTGCCATTTCCTGAATGATACGAGTTTGAGAAAGTAAGGCATCGTATTGTTATCCACAAACTTTTGAAGCGGTTTTTTTATAATTATTTCCAACTTCAAGCGGACACTTGCGGATGTATGTTCCATAGGTTTTCACGTAACGTTAACGTTGTAACGATATTGTACATTAACATCATTTACAGTTAGAACATCATTTGCTCAAAGATTTTTGCGTTTTCGGTCAGGTAGAGTGTATAATTTACTAAACAAAAAAGTAGGTATAATAAATTGAACATACACACACACACACACACACACACAGAGGGAGAGAGAGAGACACACTCATACGCACGCACGCACGCACGCACGCACGCTCGCACGCCCGAAGACCGCCCAGAGCACGCACGCACGAAGACCGCCTAGAACACGCACGCACGCACACACACACACACACTCACTCACACACAGACACACACACCCACACACCCACCCACACACACACACACACACACACACACACACACACACACACACAATCACACACACACACACACACACACACACACACACACACACACGCATACACGCACACACACACACACACTTGCACGTATCTTCGCTACGTGCAAGTGTGAGTATAATTATATAGATAATAAGAATATAATTATATAATTTCATCTAAATCTGGCAGGCCTGGAGACCTAAAACATAGATCTTTTACTTTAGGCTTTAGCTTTCCCCAAATGTACTTTATTCTGTAAAATATTTACCAAGTTTTGCATAAGTACCTTTTTAGTACTATTGTGGAAGGAGAAATAAACGATTTTTTTGTACATTGCATAATCTTCCGCGGAATTCTCGCGCATGCTCGAGAATGCTCGCGTATTCCGCGCTTTTTGGCGCTATCTAGTTTGTACGCTAAACAATTGAACATAAACTTCATTATACTATGTATATATAATATCGTTACAAAAGTTAATTTCCATTCCGTTCCGCCGCAATATAAAGTGAGCCTTAGTTACTACAAACAGGATAATGTCAAATATAATTTATTTGTTCGTTCCAGGTGTTTTAGGGCTTGCATTTTTCCTGCCCAGGGACAGGAGAAAGTAACACAAAAAAGTCAAAGCAATTATTCAGAGCACTCCATACAAGAAATTTTCAGTCGAAATTAATTTAATAATGAGGTTCTGTTCGCCGTTATTTAAGTACAATTTGTATTGTGTTACAGTATACTGTGATGTATAAATAATTTAATTAAACTAGGAATTGAAACCTCTTGATTGTTTAACTGGCACACAGACACTGACATCGACTGTGAACTAGCAACCAGTACTATCCCAATTTTGACAATTTTACAGGATGAAGAAATTGTTTGCGTCATTTATATACCATCTGGTTAGAAATTAGTACAAGTTGAATGAAGTGGACTCTGGCGCCAAAATTAAATGTATCTGTTATATGTAACATAACACACAGTAAACGCTTCTGATACGATATTATATGTGGATGCTGTATTTGCCTATTATTGGGTATACACTCGAGTAATTTCTGCAGTGTTATTTTATGATCATGTTTATTAGAGTATTTTAGAATTTAATAAATAAATAAAATAAAAATAAAATAAATAAAGAATTCGACACAATATTAAATGCCCATATCATAGCATAACAAGATCAGTAGTGTAACTCCTGCCTGTTCGGCGCTTCTATGCCTACACGTTACCCGCAGCGTAGGGCTGTCACATTATAATTTTAGTTACATAGAGGTTGCAAAATGTAATTAGGAAAAAATGGGCTTAAGGCTATATTAAAATAATCATTATTTTATACCTGCACAGCGGATTAGTATCTCGATTATAAGAAAATGATAATGAAATGCGAGTTTGTATATGCAAGAAGATATATTTATAAATGAATAAGTTAGTTGAGTTTGACACAGAAAAATATATCGAGTTCTTAGGATTTCGCGATTGTTACACTTAAGAAATGAAACTATTTTTTGGGATCTAAATCGCGTGTTTGTTTTTTCAAACAAACTAACGTTTCGGGCCCTTTATAGATCCCGTGATCATGGCTGATTGTCAAAAAAATAAATATACGAGATTTAAATCCGAAAACTAGTATCATTTCCCACACAAAAGGAAAGTCCGTCACTCATCACGCTCAGGGTTCATTGAAAATCAGCGCCTCAGTCAATTATGGCTGTGGCATAAGCGAAATGATGTCCTTTTGCACAACCGTACAAATGACAGTACAATTTGTAGTTACTATGTTTTGTTTTTCGATTTTTGTCTATTTTTATCTTTTGTGTTGTTTTTTGTATTTTTTATTTTGTTTTCTTTGTCTAAGTGCTTTCATTATTTTTTTGTATCTATGTGTTGTGTGACGTTGCAATAAATATCTACTCTATTCTATTCAACTAGTATGCACCACGAGATTATGTGAATATGTGCGTTCATACGAGACACGCAGCGAGCGTACACACATACAATCCACACTGCTACGGATGTATGAAATGAAATTACAACAATTGTCTCATTTTAGAATGCTGGAGTATAGACGTGTTTCCAGTGCATCTTCAGTATCAACTCATTATACGTACGTACGTATCGTACAGAGTTCTTCTAAGGAGATATTTAGACGGTAGTCTGCGATGCAGCCCTAAGCAAGTTGGGTCCTTCATATTATAATTTCCAACCTTCTAGACATTCAGATTTAATCACGATGTTTTAGCTGTAGGACGTCACACGTTTGTATAACTGTTAATGTTTGGACGAGGGTTGTAATGAAACCGCTTGTCGTCAGGCAAGCAGGTTATATTCCAGAAGCAAAAGAAAGAAACCATTTTACAGCAAAAGTGAGACACCACCTAGACAGCCCTATTATGAATAAATAACTAAAGACACTCACACACTCAACATAGCCCCGCATTAAGGAAACCCTGTGTCGCGGGTGACATGAACACACACATAGACAACTCACGAGAGAAATAAACGTAGGCCATACAAATATTTCTCAGGCCGGGGAATTGAACCTGGGACCTGTGCGTGGCAGTCCGGCATGGCAACCGTTCGGCCACCGAAGTAGTTTAGTGACGTGGTCACATTAGTAATATTGAATAATCACTAGATTAATCACTAATCAAAGTGTAAGTCAAAGTCAAAGATTATTTATTCCATAGGTAAAATAAATTTACACTTGAAAACGTCACATTTAAGCTACTGCTCGTTCACTACGCTGACCTCCCTGAGAAGAACGAGCAAGAAACTCTAGGGATTGCTCTTTTCAAATAAACTTAAATGCTATGGAATACACTTTGAATCAAATTTGTGTGGATTCTGGAGCCGTGTCGTCTTTTCATACATCTTTATCTAACACGTACTCTTCAATTTTGTAATATGATTTTTCGATCAAAATATTTTTAATGTAGTTTTTAAACTTAGGAAATGATAAACTTGATATATGCTCCGGAATCTTATTGTAAAAACGTATACAGTTCTCCATAAAAGAGCTGTTTACCTAGGTTAAACGAAATTGTGGTACCATGAGTTTGGACTTCGCTCTAAGGTTAATATTATGGATATTTTCTTTCTTATTAAAACTATGTATATTTTTACGGGCATATAAAATATTTGAGTAAATGTACTATGATGCCACAGTCATGATACCAGTCTCTATAAACTTTTCTATGAGAGAAACCCGAGAGCCTAGACGGTACACAGAACGAATCGCTCGTTTTTACAATACAAATATGGTTTGAATATCTGCCGCTTTACCCCACATGAGAATCCCGTAGGACATTATACTATAGAAGTAACTAAAGTAAACTAGTCTAGCAGTACTAACACCGGTAAGCTCACGTATTCTGCGGACTGCATATGCAGCGGAGCTTAATCTGCTGACCAGGGAAGACATATGTGGAAACATTGAAGTTTACTATCTAAAGTCACTCCCAAGAAGACTGCTTTATTAACAAGGTCTAACTTTTCTCCGTTTATTTCTATGCTTGAACTAATCGATTTTACGTTAGGTAATTCAAATTTAACACATTTTGTCTTCTAGGCATTAAGCAACAAATTGTTAGCAATAAACCAATAAACTACCTTAGAGAGGGTATAATTAATATGATCATAGTTAATGTCATGTCTGTCTGTTTTAAAAATCAATGATGTGTCATCAGCAAACAACACTATTTCGCAATGGGCCTTAACAAAAAATGGCAGATCATTAATATAAATCAGAAATAATAAAGGTCCAAGTATTGAGCCTTGCGGAACACCCATTTTTACCTGTGAATCCAAAGAAGTCACTCCATTTATGTCTACTTTCTGAATTCTAACGTTGAGATATGACGAGACAAGGTTCGCCACCTTGCCATTTACACCGTAATGTTCCAGCTAATAAGAGTAATATGATCAACGCAATCAAATGCCTTTGAGAGGTCACAGAAAACACCAATAACGTTCTGGGACCTTTCCCAAGTATCAAAGATGTGTTTTAGTAACGCTACCCCCGCATCGCTAGTCGATCTAACACTAGTAAACCCGTATTGTTCACTATGAAAAATATGGTTCCTACCGAAATAGGACAATAATTGAGTCAGCATAACCTTTTAACCTTTTGCATAAAATTTTACTTAAAGCTGGTAAAATTAAAATGGGCCTATAGTTGCTAGGGTCAAGTTTCCTACCGCTTTTGAATAACGGAATAACCTTGCTGTATTTCGTTAAATCGGGAAAAACACCTTCGTCAACGCATCTATTGAAAGCTACAGCTAAATGTGGGGAAATTAGATCAATAACTGTATAACTTTAGTTGATATGCCCCAGAGATCTTCAGTTTTTTTAACATGTATTGATTTAAAAGCTTTTATGATGTCTTGTGGATTAACATGACGGAAATTAAATAAACTGCCACAAACGTTAACATTTTTCTTTATGAGATCAATAGCAGGAAAAGGGGAGGAATTTAATGATTCTGTAGTGTTCACAGCAATTTCCGAAAAGAACGATTCACAACATTGGGCTACTTTATCTTTAGATTTTATAAGTTTTTGTAAGATTTTATAAGTCTAATTCTAAACTATATCTCTATCGTGTTGTTTAACCCTGCCTGACTCTTTATTTATTACGCTCCAAATAGTTTTAGATTTACTTATCGATTGTCTAATTTTGTCGCTGTGAAACTTAACCTTAGCAGCTACACATACTTTTTAAAATATTTTTTAATAAATTCTAACATATTCTATGAAATTGGAATTACTATTATAAGTTTGCATAGCATATAGCTCATACAAATGAGACCTACTCTTATGAATACCTACTGTTGCCCAGTCGTTGAATTTAGTCTCTCTATGGAAAGTTAATGTTTTCGATTTAAATACATTATCAAATTCATTTTTAATTAAACCAAATATCGTGCTACATAAAGTGTTTGGAACCTCCGGTATATGGGTTAGGGAATTTAAACTATTGCCGATAGTTCTGTGGTAATCGGTCTGCAGAGAAATTGGTCTACCTTCTTGCTCATTTTACAGTTAAAAGAAGCCAATTGGCAAATCTTAAGCAATTTATTATTGATTTAGACACTGCGTCTGTATTACAAATGATGTTATCAATACAAGTAAGACAAAAAGAGGAGGCAGTGATGCGAATTGGTTCTAAGAAAAGATTAATCAAGTTAAACTTTTAAATAAATTAATGAGTCTTATAGAAGTAGAACAGTTTTCCAACAGATGTACATTGAAATCTCCACATATTACTACGTTTTTTTTTAGTTGGAAAAATCCGCTTTAAACTGTCTTCAATAATTAATAGGTAATTAAACTCGTTAAAATTAGCAGAGGGGGGCCGTATACAGGCCCATATAAGCCATATAAGGCCCACATAAGACGACAAACTTATCCATTCCACACATGAAATCTCAATAGTTCGTTCAGTAGAAATATTTGTGATATCCTTACGTTCTTTAAATTTTAAGTTACGTTTAATAATAATAATGGATCCGCATCTGCTTAAGCTCTTTCTTATGACGAACTAACTATTACATAATTTTCTATATTGTTAATTGCTTCGTAGTCTTTCAGCCAGTGTTCTGTAATACAAAACACGTCAACGGAAATATCGTGCGAAAAAACGACTTATTTGTAATGTTTTGCCAGAAAAGCCTTGAATATTTTGATGTACTACACGGAAACG